ACATTAATTGCTCATAACGCTAGCGGTTTTGATAACTGGATCATGCTTAAAAATGAGAAAAAACTAACGCAATGTCCACTAGTAACAGCTAGAGGCATTCTGTCTCTACCTTTAACTAATTCATTCACCGATGAATATTTACAGAAAAAATGGAAAAGACAAAAACAAATAATGGGCAACTCTAATTATTTGCAAAATATTAATTTCATATGTTCCTTTCAACATGAAAAATCTAGTTTGGCGGCATGGGGAAATTCATCTAATCTACCGATGAATTTGAGAAAGATCGAGGATGTTAATATTGAAAATACACCAAAGATAATTGGGAACCTTTAAGACACGAATGGGAACCTTACGCTAAAAGAGATACGTTATGTCTCGGAGCTTGTTTGATGAAATACAATCAAGCAATGAAAGAAGTTGTATTTCAGAATATTTCCAATAATCTAACGTCTCCTTCTTTATCTTTAAAGGGTTGGTATTATTTATATCATTGCGATAAAGAAATGATTGAAGAAGAATGGTATGAAAGTACTAGAATGGTTCCGAAACACACCGAAAAAGAAAACGTAGAAAAAGTTTACTCACATACTCACCCTTTTATAAGATATTTTATCAGACAAAGTATTAAAGGAGGAAGAGTTTCGGCAAATCGAAAATCATTTGAAACGAATAAAATGGATGAAATTTGTAATATATTAAAGGAATACACAGAAACAGCAAGTGATAATATAATAGATTTATTCAAAGAATACAGCGCTAGCACGAAAGATAAAGCGGAGGTTCATTCGAGACTTAAAAAAATAAACTGTAATAAACTAATGGCCTTTGATGCTAACGGTTTATACGCTTCCACCATGTCGGATTTAGACAGTGAATATCCGAGAGCAGAAAGTGGTAGACCATTTCTACCGGAAGAAAATAAAGAATTTCTCAAGCCCTTTAATGAACAGGAATTCAGACCTAGAACTGCTATTTTAAAAGTCTGGTTTGAATATCCTACCAACATGTTCTTCCAACCCATACCAGCTAAAGATAAAATCACTTTCACGAATAGAATAGGTAAAAAGGAAACTGGCACTAAAATCGGGTTCAGAAATGGTTTTTGTCACGACGTTTTAACATCGGTCGATATTCAAGAAATAGTGAAAGCCGGTGGACGAATTATTAAATTATTAGATGGTATAGTTTACGAAGAAAATTTTAAAACTCCACCATATAGAGATTATATTTTAATTTTGAGAGATCTAAGAAATAAAAATAAACGAGAAGGTAATATCGTAGGTAGTAATTGCATGAAATTATTAGGCAATTCGTTGTATGGTAAATCTATTCAGAAGGATATAACTACATCGAGACATCTATGGAGTGAAGCGACTTTAAAAGCCAACTACGATTCACACGTCAAAAGCTATGAAAAAGTAAATGATAGTCAATATATAGTTGAGATAAATGAAGAAGAAAAAGAATTTATTCCTCCTCCTAAATCTACACGGCTAACACCTAGTCATTTGGGATCATTCGTTTTATCTCACAGTAAAAAAAAATAATGAATAATTTTATTCGCGTGATAGATGGATTTTATAAGCCTGAAAAAATATACTATACGGACACCGATAGTTTATACATTTCGTCTAGCAATTGGGATAAATTAAATGAAGCTGGGTTGGCGTCCGAAAATGATTATTGTAAAGGAAAGAATGATTATGGTGATGGTGGAATTATATTTGGTTTATATTTAGCGCCAAAAGTTAAATACAATATCATTCTAACTTCCGACGGTATTCTAAAAGAAAAGAAAACGTTTAAGGGTTACTCTAAAGATAAGATATCCGTAGAAGATTATATTCGATTAGCTAGTGGACTCGATGTAACGAATGAATTTAAGAAACCTTGGGTAAAAAGTTTCACCAATGCTAAATCTCGTTAAGAGAAAAGCACCAAACAGTGAAGGAATTATGTATCCTTACAACGACGGAAAAGAATTGAACATAGATAAAAACTACGAATTTGATGATTACGATTACCTTACTATTCAAGAAGAGAATGAAGAGTGTTTAATTTAATTTTTTTGTTTTAAATGAAGTTGAATAACAATTTCCTCGTTACCAAAATCTATAAACCTATTTTTACCATCTTTGATTTCCAGATTTAAATCTTTAATCATAAAGGAATTAAGTGGTAAATATGTCGTTTGAAATGATTCTATAATCCTATCGGTACAGTGAATGTTGGAAGACTGTAAATAATCTGACGTTTGCATTTATTGAAAAATCCACCGTTTATCAAATTGCAATGTATATTTATCACATCAATATCATTCTCGATATTAGCTTTGTGTGGTGCTAAAGTGGATTGGGTGTATGCTCGTTTATCAAATCCTAGTAACGTATTCAATGAATTTTCTACGTTGAAATCAACTTGACTATTATTTCTTAATATCAATTTTATTTTGTTCAGATTCAAATTACCTTCGAATTCAATATTGTTTTTATCATTGACACTTCCTCCATATTCAGATAGGTATTCGTTAATGGCTATGTATTCGTAGCTTCCTGGTAGCAAACGTATGGTTTTGAACGTAACTCCGTTATTTGTTGATATTTTTATTTGGTTAATTTTTTTCGTTGATATTTCTAATGGAATTGTAAACAGAGAAATACTTTAATCCCAATTCATATTCTTGATTGCGATCGAGTTCGTACTCATAATCTAGAGACAATTTAATGTCTGATTTATTTGAGGTGATGACGAATAGTTGTTCTTTATTTGACATCTTTAATCACGCTTTTATAGTCATTTTTATCTATAATACCCTTTTCTAGGAGTCTTTTTAATATACAATTTACTTCATGATATTGTCTGTGCGATCGATGTCCTTCCTTCATTGCCGCTAATATTACTCGTAATCTATTAAGTAGTTCCTCGTTGTTGTCGGATAAAAACGTTATACCTTCTCCAGATGCCACCATATCATCGAATTCGTCTATTTCTTGTATGATTGATCTTTAGCATAATCATCTGCTTCGTCAACTTTGTATTCATCATCATGTTCAATTACTCTTATATATAGTTTAACTTCTTTCGATCTTCTTGTTTCGGGTCCCGACTTTCTTATTGCTTCTAGAAATTTTGAGTATGCTACTTTTTGCGATCGGCAATGCCTACATCCTCACCATTCATTAAATCTATTAATCCTTTTGTTAATGTGTATATAAAATCTTTTGTATCGATTTTGAATAAAGGGGAATTTGAACTAAATATTATTCTAAATCCATTAAACAATAAACCTTGATTATCAACGATTGGTCTAATACTCTTTGGTAAATCTGCTTTAGGGGTTTGAAAAAAGACGATTTATATCATCTAATGTCCTAATTATAATACCATCATATTCAATCGCTTTGGGGTGTTCTATAGGAGGTTTATATTCTAATTTCCTTTTAATATCCTCTTGAGATTTTAATATGGGTTGAAATAGAGTTTGTAGATTTTCCGTTAATCCGAGTGTTGTAATCTATTATTTTCAACTTGGGTC